AGCCGAAGCCCCGCGCGGCCGCCGCCGAAAGCTCCCGCCCGCAGCGCCACATCCCGGCGGCGCCCACTTACGCGCAGGCTGGCCGGCCGGGACCACATGGGCACGCGGAAGCGACGAGGGGCGGGGCCTCGCTACGGGCGCCGGGCAGGGACAAACCACCTACAGGCGCCGCAGGGAACGGAACGCTGCCTGACGCGAAGAGGGGCGTGGCCATAGGAGCTGACACTTCCCTGCAGAGCTGCTTGCCCCCTTGCAGCAAGCACGAGAGCGCTTCATCAGCACCAGAAGAGATGTTAAGTAGGAAAAAGTAAAGAAATGCTACGTGAGTGCGATTCTATAGTGACTGGTGCCGGCATGGAGCAGACTCCTTACACCCCAAATATTTCCAAGTGACCCCAACTATAACGCTCTTCTGCTGCACTTGTGTATGGGGCAAGGTGCTATTCAATGGGACGGAGGGTACCTGAATGTCTACAGGCCTTTCAAAACACCATAACGTTGAGCTCTTTTTTTTGTAAAAAAAAAAAAAAAAAGTAAGAAATGCTGCAATGGGAGGGGTATATCTGCTGTCAGGCAAAAATAGCTATTTTGACAAACGGAGAGAACTGAAAAGCCCGAGTCATTGGGCGTTTGCACGTCCCCAGGCACGAGTATTGGATGAGACGGATGATGTTCTCGCGATGCAGCTACAGACCATGCTGCAGGGGAGTTAATTATATCCTGGTAATAAGCAGACCAGAAGACTATACCGCGTGGTTGCTGTAGCTAAACTTCTAACCCTCTTTTTAGTCGTCATTTGTCACAGCACTTACTGCGGCACACGGCATAGAAAACACAACATGTGTGCCTGTTAAATCTTGTTAAAAATGCATTTTCTCTGACATAGGGCTGAAAAATAAGTGCCTTGTGAAAAGAAATGGGCAAAAAAAAAAAATTGCAAAAAAAATAATAAAGGGACAAAGAACATGAGCAGCAATAAGCATTACTGGCATTACTCAGAGAGTAAGTCACATTCTGGTCTCTGCAACTGCCCGGCATTAGGACAGGTTGCTAGTGCAGAAGTGAGTAATTACAGGAGAAAAAGCAATGATCATAAAGGAGCTCCTTTGAGCGTCTCTCTCATGACTCCAAGGTTTCCAGAAGCCCGAGCAGAGCCCTCCTAAGCTGAGTGCTCCTGTACTTAATTAAAGGGCCTTAATTTCTGTACTCATTCCTCTGATTGCATAAATAAAGGACCCTGCTTGCCTTCCTAACCCACCTGATCTCAACATAGTGCTGATAAATACATACTAATAGGCTGAAGGGGTGGAGAGAGAGAGAAGGAGAAAGTCTCTCGGGATCTATAGGGAGAGCTCTTGCTCTGAACAGTGATATTATACAAAATGGAAAGTGGTGCTGGAAGAGCTGGTGCAATAAAGCCGAGGAAAAGGCTGCCCTTTGCCTTTTGGTACGGAGGCAGCTGACTTCCAAGTTACTTCCCAAGTTAGGCAGTGAACAATCTTTGAGGATCTGGACCTTAGTCTCTCAGGGCCTCAATTCAGGCGTAAAATGAAAGAAAGGACTTCCTTCATCTGTATGCGTCTTGTCTACTACATTGTAAATGCCCACTGGCAGGGATGGTCTCATGTGATGTGCAGCACAGCACCTCGCACAACAGGTCCCTGGGGTGCCAATAATAATAATGAGGAACCAGAACAGGGACTGGGACTGGGAGGTAACCGGCTAGGCTTGTCCATTGCTCTTCAACCATACAAAAACCAGGTAACAGTTAAACTATTCAATCCAGCAATAGCAAGGGGGAAACAAACCAGTTAAACTATATTCATCCAGCCCTAATTAGGCACCTAAGTGAAATAATCCAGAAATACTAACTACCAGTAATGTTGCAATTACCAAAAGTATAAATGGGAGGTGGTCTGCTAGCAACCTGTGGCTGATTAACTCCTAAGATCTTCACCCTGCCTTCCCCGGGGACCTGTGTCATTGCTCATTCCCCCTGGCAAACCGAACAAACTTGTCTCAAGCACAAATGCCAGAGTAACAATAGGCAGGTTTTGATTTTCCTCCTCAGCCTGGCTCAGCTGCCTTCCTCCCATCAAGCTTTTCCAATCTCATCATTTTTCTCACACACATCAATATTTGCCTGGGCATTTCTACTGCAAACTTGGTCTGCGTTGATTTACACAATTAGAAGGCTTAGCACAATGTGTTGCCTAATCAGGCCTCAGCATATATCTCCTGAAACGCACAATGCATTTGGAAACTGCTTTCTCCTCCTACCAGTCTCGGTGCCTTGCGGGGTAGAATGACCCAAGGAGAAATCTGGTTTCCCTACATATCGGTGAGGGGTGTCTGCAGATTAGTAGCAGGAGCTGCCTTTGTTTGTTCAGCTGGAAAATGGAACAGTTGACAATTACAAGCAGGACTGATTATGCAGCCCCAACCTATTGTTGCCGCTAATAAGGGGAAGAAATGCAGTGCATCCCTTTCAGAATGAATGCATCTTAGTTTGGAAGCAATAGGGGAGGTGGGGGACTTCTCTCATGTTGAGAGATGATAAAAGCCAGCCTGTCAAAATAAGGTGGAGCAGATCTGCCGTCAATGGAAACTTTAATAGCCATTTTCATATCGCTTAGTTGGGGGCTGCTTGGTCTTTTTTTTTTCCCCATAGAGCATTGCTCATTGTAGACACAAATCACAGTCCCAATCTACCCTCCCTTTCCCAGGTTGCTGGGCCCTGGTCCGGTCTCCTTCCCTCCACGTAGTGGCATGGGGGGTCTCTTACTCTACTTGCAGCCATGAAGACCTCTCCCCCCCTCCTTTCTTGCCTTCCCTCAGACTCTACTTCGCCCAAACCCGCAGCTGTGACTGCAGCAGCCGTTTCCTAGCAAAGTCATGTCAGCAGCATTAGATTAGGCAGCACTAATGTGTTTTAATGGCCTTTCCTGCAATTTAGCAGCTGGAAATAAGGAAAAGGACCTAGTGGCATCATGTGATCAGCCAGCTGTCTACAGAGACCATTGGCCTGTGCTTCACGGAGCCCAGCTGGGAATACCTGGATTAGATGGTCTTTAAAGACCATCACTCTGGGTCTCAGGGTTTCCTACAGAGCCTACCTCTGTGCTATCAAAACACCATCCTTGGCTATATTATCATTGTGAGAGTGGCTGGAGACCCCAAATGGGGGTGGGGTCCTGCTGTGTTGTGCGCACTATAATACACATTACAGAAACACATCAATCCTAAGGAGTCTGCAGTCTAAATAAACAAGCAAACTAAGAAAGTAGGATTATCCTGAGTCTCAGCAAACAGGCATGGAGATATTAATAGACTCTCCCAAGCATCCACAGTAAGTTTACA